CGCACAGCCCACCATAGACACCGCACAGCCCACCATAGACACCGCACAGCCCACCATCAATCCCGCACAGCCCACCATAGATCCCGCACAGCTCTCCTGAGACCCCGCACAGCCCACCATAGATCCCGCACAGCTCTCCTGAGACCCCACACAGCCCACCATGGACACCGTACAGCCCACCATAGACACCGCACAGCCCGCCATAGACCCCACACAGCCCACCATAGATCCCGCACAGCCCACCATAAACACCGCACAGCCCGCCATAGACCCCACACAGCCCACCATAGACCCCACACAGCCCACCATAGATCCCGTACAGCCCACCATAGACACCGTACAGCCCGCCATAGATCCCGCACAGCTCTCCTGAGACCCGGCACAGCCCACCATAGATCCCGCACAGCCCACCATGGACACCGCACAGCTCTCCTGAGACCCCGTACAGCCCACCATAGATCCCGCACAGCTCACCTGAGACCCCACCCAGCCCACCATGGACACCGTACAGACCACCAACAGCCCACCATAGACCCCACACAGCTCTCCTGAGACCCCGCACAGCCCACCATAGATCCCGCACAGCCCACCATGGACACCGCACAGCTCTCCTGAGACCCCGTACAGATAACATGCAAATAACCGCACGCTGAACACGCGAACAAATGCGTAAAAACGGTGCCGCCTATGTGTGAACCCGGCCTGACTGTTCAAGAAGTGGTACACGTGGTGACAAAAACTGGGCGTGGCTAAAATGTTTGAAGGGCGTGGCCTGACACATACTATAAACACGGAACTTAAAGCGTATTTCCACTTTTGCATTCAGATTTCAGATGGGGGTTGGTCACTAAGCTGCTGAAGGCAACTGAATAACCGAGCCCAAGCTTGTCCGGCCATCACAGCAGCCCTGCACAGCTATTCTTAGCCATTCATCGGCTGCATTCGACCTGCTTCACCTGCATTCGATTCGGCCCAACAGACTCAGCGCGATCGGCCGAAACCGAAGGGAAGTACCCATTCTCCTCAGCCGATGTGACATCTGGATCAGCTGAGGTGAACGTTCGGCACTTCATTCCCCGCTGTTCCCCCCGATTCTCATATATTCTCCAAGGGGCCGAACAGCAGAGAGCGAATAGATGAACATTCGGCTCAGCATTCGGCTCGGTCCTCAGAGGTACCATACGGAATGAGAAATGTTACTGTAGAATAAAAACAGCACTGGGGCCCTCCTCCCAAATCATACCGGTCCCCTTAGTTCTGGTAGGAATGTTAGGGGGGACCCCCGATGTAAAAGAAATAATAATGCATGGGGTTCCCCTACAACTTCATACCGGACCATTCTGCTGAATGTGATATGCTGAGACCAGTGGCGTAACAATCACCATAGGGACCCAGGCGGCCGCTATGGGGCCCGGGGCACAGTGGGGCCCGGCCAGATGCCGTGCGGGCCGCCTGGGTCGCTATGGGATCCTCTGCTGGTGGCTTTCACTGGTCGGCTGAACACGAACATGACACTGTTCAGATCACTGACAGTAATCTGTGCAGCAGCGCGTTCCTCTCCACAGAGTCAATGAGAGCCAGCAGGGGCAGCGGAGGAGGAGGCGGGGCCTGCGGTCGGCAGCAGGGGAGGAGGCGGGGGCCCGGTGACGAAGAAGGAGGCGGGCCCGGCGACGGAGGAGGAGGCGGGGCCCATCAGCGACCGTGGAGGAAGAGGAGGCGGACAGGTAAGGAGTGCGACCATCCCACCTGAGAGTGACCCTGCAGAGCCCACCATAGAGAGTCTGATGGGCTCTGCAGGTTCACCCTCAGGTGGGCTCTGCAAGGGGCATAACTAGAAATCACGGGGCCCCATACAAAATTTTGCTATGGGGCCCTGTGATTTCTAGTTACGCCCCTGGCTGAGACATGTAGTTCCACATTTCAGGA